ATTTCATCTTAGTTCTGTAAGTTTTAGTATACAGTCAGAGGCATAAAGATAGCTTTTAAATCTATTTGAGACAAGTATAAGTCAATTGCATAATTATTTTTACAAGAAACTCACATTTCCTCTCCTAGTGGGTCATCAACACATCCAAACAATTGTATTCAAATTCAGATTCAGAAAGACTTATGGGTTTGAAAATCCAAGGATAATTGATTCTTATCAAATACCAGTCTTTCAGTTCCACATCATAGCTTACCACATCAATTGGAACAAAAATAATGTGTCTCTTGGATGAATGTACTGTATGAACCAGAGAAAAATAAGTTAAAATCTGTTGTATAGAAGAGAATATAATAAAAACCTCTAAATACAAAGGATAACCTGTTGTCTCTTCAGTGTTATTTTTTAATCCTTTACCTCAAGGTAACATCATACATGAAAGAAAATAGACACATACAGTAGCTCATATTTGCAAATTGAAATAGAAAAAAAAACCCACCAAACATCATTTAAGGTATAGAGATATGAGATTATTTTAATTTCAAAGAACCCACATATGACCTTAAAGGGATATTGATGCAGTGCAAATCATTCCTGAAGAAAATCCCATTATTATACTAATTCTTGGTTTTACAACATCAAGGCTTTCAGAAGGTGCATGCATGATGTGAATCCAGAGAATTCATCTTTTTCCTTAAATAAGCATGCTGACCTTTTCTAAAAATCACATGAAATTATGCGTGAAGCACACTGAAGCACACTGGATAATTCATTTTTTATGTATCCCTGATAATTTCATAAATGGTGTTCTTCAGATAAGAGCAGATGGAATTACAAACAAATAATGTTAATAAGACAATATCTTTTACTGTGGAACATTATCTCATACTCGATTAAGGAAAGGGGACTGAAAGCCATCTTTGTATGTTCAAATCAAATTAAGACTGGTTCAGATTTCTCCAATGGTCTCCACTACAGATTCAGAGTGAATATAAATTAAATAAGTTAAATTACGTGTATGTTACATAATACCAATTTTGTAAACCATGCAAAATGTCTTTCATTTTTTACACAGGAATTTATAAGAGTCAAGAAGCAAGGCTGATGCTACTCATGTACCATGCAAAAGCGTCAGCACACACTTCTCTGAACAAGATTAAAGATGTAACTTGGTCCATGGATGGTTTTGTAAGTATATTTTTAATCTACTCATCTACATGCTGAAGGAGGGCATTTTGAGTGCTATCTGCAGTTTAGTTCTGCACGTTTACCTGATATGAAATAATCATCTCTTCGTGCATGTAGACCAGATAATCTCTAACACTGCCAAACACATTGCATCAAAAAAATATAGTGACAGGCCTGTTTTTATTTTGTCATGTTTTTCTTAATTCTTTTTGTTATTCACTAACGTAGTCATGTGTGAAACAGATAATGCCCTAATTTGTAAATTTGTTTCTGTTTACTATACAGAAGTGCACAATTCATTTAAAATATTCTCCAATTATAATTGATTGTCTTGAATTTTGGCTTTATCCATATATGATTATCTTTGGATGGTACAATGAAAGAGTCCCTCCAAGCCCTACCATTTGCATTTGCCCATGCCATTTCCCTGTCCCAGCTCTGAAACTGCGGAGCAGGAGCTCAGGGAAGAGGGATTTCCACTTTGGTCTCTATACAGGGCCCAAAGTCCTCTCCTCCAGCTCCCTTGCTCCCTAGTCTGTGATGTGTTGGATGAGAGAGTTCCTCGTGTTCCACAGTCCTTGTTTTATCAGGCACACCAGCAGCCAAAGCAAGTACTGTGTCCCTTTGTCCAATCTGGTAGGTACTAGCCCCAGTAGGATGCCCTGGTAGCTTAGTACTGTTCTCACTTCCAGGACTTGCATGGTGTTGTCCATTCTGACCCACACCGCTTTGTCTAAGGGGCAGCTCCAGAGCACGTGCTCCTGCATCTCCTTGGTGAAGCACGTTTCCCAGGGGCAATGAAAATTCCTGTGATCGAGTGTCTCCAGTCGCTTTTCTGGTTCTGGTCCAGTGTTTGTCCACTGGACCAGGTGCCTCATCGGAATGGAGAACCACAGCCTGACAATTTACTGGTACTTGTGGCTGATGGGCTCCCGCAGTGCCCGACAGAGGTTGCAGAATAGGATGCAGTCGAGTTTCAGGAAGAAATGCAGCACGCTTCTCCCCCCTTCCTTGACCGGCTGGCACATTCTGTTTCTTGTGATGTGCTCATACCTGCCTCTACAGACGAACTTGAAGACCATCCCTTGCAGTGCTCATCTGAGTCTGGCCTGCAGCAGGTACACCACAGCCAGATAAACCAAAGCCAGCAGGTTGTCTGCCTTCGACACCATTACTTTCTCCGTGTGGGATAGCAACCACGTTTTCCACATACCCAGCTTTGCATTCACCTTGGCGATCCTTTCAGTCCAGTTGATGGTCTCGTTGTCCTGGCTCTGGAACGAAACCCCCAATTTCCTGAGACCTTCTGGCGCAGTCATCCTGTCCCTCCAGGGTCCAATGAAATTGAGCTTGCTCTTTTGGCAGTTGATCTTCGATTCCAAAGCCTTGGAGTATTGCTCCATTATCTGCAGGGCTCTCTTCAACCCTGTGTCTGAACTCAGGAACAGCGTCATGTCGTCTGTGTACTGGGAGATCTTGAGGGTTTCCCTCGCGCCTCCCGGTATCGCCAGGTCATTGATGACAGGGTCCTCTGCTAATGCAGGTTTCACCGTTTCTGCTAATGGCTCTTTGAAGAGAACACAGAGAAGTGGTGAAAGAGGGCACCCTTGTCACACTCCTGACTCCTAGGGAATGAAAACCCCCAGGTGTCCACTTATGTTGACTCTGCTGCCAACTTCAGAGTACAGTATCTTTATCCAGTGGCCAAAAATCTCTCTGAAACGCGGTGAAGCATTCCAACACTCTGAACAGATAGCTGTGGTTTACTCTGTGGAAGGCTTTCTTCTGGTCCAGGCTCACCACCATCATTGGCACGTTTCAGTGTTCGGCCAGACGATTGCGTCCCCGGTGAGCTGGAGGTTCCAGCTGATGGATTGTCCTTCCACCGCTCACGTCTGGTCACTGTTGATTATGTGGGGTAGGGTGGTCCTCAGTCTGCTGTCCAGTAGCTTGGACAGGATCTTGACGTCCACGCAGAGCATCGTTAGAAGAGCATCGCCTGCTTCCATCTCTATCATGCTCTTCAGAAAAGAGCTCTTTGTAGAATGCGGTTGCCACTTCTGCTTGCAAAAGGCATGGTGATAGATCAATTGGCTTCAGTGAAATATGGACCTGGTGTGAGTTTTAGTATCTGTATGTGCCCTGTTATGGACTGGCGTCCCTTCCAGGGTGTATCCTACCTTGCACCTGTTGCTTGCCGGGTTAGGCTCTGGCTGCCCCCATGAGCCTGTACTGGTTAAGCAAATGAGAAAATGAATAGATGTGTATCTTTTTCCTGTTTATTGCCTTTTTTACCAAGTGTATAAAAATCCTCTTAAGAAGTATTTGCATTCAAGTCTTCAAATCACAATTGTTAGTTATTGAAAATTTGGATTAGAATGTACCCTATGTAATACACAGCAGTGTTGTATAGAGTTGTTTTTTTCAACAGCTTAATTATCTATATTGTATTCCATGCCTTACTTAGGTTTCAGCAGAACCTGATGGAGCAACATATGTCTTTCAAGGATTCATACAGGGTAAAGACTATGGCCAGTTTGGACTTCAGCGATTAGGTAACAGAAAATACAATGACAATTGTTTTAATATACAGTATATTTGTGCCTAGAGCCTCATCAGGTTGGAACTACATTATTTCCAGTTTAGTTAAATAGATTTAAGTATGAGACACCTCCATGAGGTGCTAGGCTCTCACAGGGAATGCCAGCCCACCCCTTCAAGGCTGGTAACCGTTTATATTTTGAGATATACCGTAACTCAAATATATATACCGTAACTGTGATTTTGGTCAAGGGTACAAGAATTATGTCTTCAGTATGGACTTGACCCACGGCCATCTCCTGTTCCTAAAGATCCACGTCTAACATCGACTCTATACTGTAAAAGTGTGGATCTAATTTTAAAAAATTCTAAAAGAATTCATTTTACATAGTTACTTCTAATTTTATCCCACTGGAAACAAACATTTTATATTTACGTGAAATATTTAATGCAAATAATTGATTCCAGAAATCTAGGAATTGATCAGTAAATGGGTTGTAGCATTAAAGGACTCTTTTTCAACAATACTAATGGAATCTGTCGGATGTTAATCATGTACCCTTTCAACCTTTTCACCACCAACAAAAAACATTCTTTGCTGAAACTAGGATCTAATTAAATATCCCAGAATGTACAATTATAATAATGGAAAGTAGAAAAGGCCTACAAGATTATAAATGAGGGGTATAAAAGAAGGGAACACAATAAGAAAAACAGAATTGTAAAATTGATATTGTGCCTCTGTCTACTTTTAAGACAAATGTAGTGCACCTAATTCAAATATGACCCCATGAAATTATAATCAATTCTGTGTTAGAAACTAAATGGATTCAGTGCAAAACAAAAGAGAAGTCAAGGAGAAGATAAATTGTATTTTTTACCTTATACAAACACATTGTTCCTGTTCTCAGTGATTTCTTTCTCCACATAAAATCTAGATTAATCAACAGCATAGTTCCAGCAAAACCACTCATATTTGTGCTCGTCTGTTTTGTTGTTGTTTCTAGGGATCTTATCGAGAAACCACATTACAATTAATGTATTCATACTTTTTTGTATTTCTTTGTCTCTCTTAGGTTTAAACATGTCAGAGAGTAATAACTCTTCAAATCAGCACCATGGTACAAATAGTAGCTCTGTGGCCATAGCAATCCTTGTGCCTTTTTTTGCCCTGATATTTGCGGGATTTGGATTTTATTTATACAAACAGCGGTATGTATGTTCTTCCAAATTCAGTATGGGCTACAACATCCTATTTATTAACTTACTGTGTTTTTCTCATGTCTTTAATTTATAATTTGCCATGAAAAACAAAAAGCATTCTAAACAAAGTGTATGCCTCTATGTAAGCATGACAATATCAGATTCAGTTGTTGTAGTGCATTAGAAACAAATAATTGTGAATAGTATTATTTAAACGGTGCATTGTGTCTTGAAAATAGTGTTTTAAATGTGTTTATTTATCAATAAGAAGTTTTAAATAATGCTTTTAGATTAGCTAGAAGTAACAGTATATTGTATTTAATATGCAACGTAATGAAAATTTATTTTTGTGTGGTGTGTTTTATGTGGTGTACTTAAATGATTATCTTGTCTGATTTCTGTAGGACTACACCTAAAACACAGTATACCGGCTGTTCAGTACATGAGAATAATAATGGCCAAGCAGCTTTTGAGAATCCTATGTACGACACAAATGCAAAGTCAGTGGAAGGAAAAGCTGTTCGCTTTGACCCTAACCTTAACACCGTCTGCACAATGGTATAATGAAGTCTACTGTATGGAAACTATTGAATATTTTTGAATGCTTTGCAAACTGGATTTCATGAAACTTCAAGTCCAAATGGTGCACAGCCACTGATATTTAAAGCACACTTTTCAGGAACCAATGGGTCATGTGCGTCTGGAGAAACAAATATGAATCCAACAAAATGTTTTAGAAGACTGATGAAAAAATTATCTTCATGATCAAAGTGGAGAGTCCTTAAGCTACCTTTTGTGCACTCTGGGAGTGCTTGTTCACAATTTATTTTGTCTTTTTTAAAAGTAAAAGGATCTGTAAATCTACTTGCATATATATGAGGAGCATTCACCACCTATATTTTTGTGCTATATGATACCACTTGGGGTGGGTTTGGGTAAAGAGATTATATAAGAGTTTATACAAATATTTCAAAGATGCTATTCACTAAAATAAAAAAAATTGCCCAATTGAATTACCCCCAAGTTTCTTTTTTTTCTTCTTTTTTCTTTGGTTTTTGCCCCCCTCCCAAATCATACTTCCCACCCTTTTCCTATAAGGTTCTTATAAAGCAACATATAGTTGATATAGTTTAGTTTGAGTTTGTACTTTATGAATAATGTGTGGCATAGAAAAGACTAAGGAACAAAACAGGTTCAGTCTAAGGCAAATACTGGATGACAAATATTTGATCAAATTATTTGTATCCTTCATTATCCTCACATTTTTATGCTTGCTTTGTTTTGTTCACACCAAGATTTTTAATGATTGTTTAAATTATACAGACCCAATCAATTTAGGAGAAAATAAAATTCCCTTTTGAGGTAATACATTTGAATTTGTTGTGTTTTTATGCTGTGTATTGGGCAGTGCCAAATAACGCTATATTAAATATATTAAATAAATAAAATATACTGATTCTGCGTGTCCCTGGACTACCAGCATATAATCCATGGAGTGAAAAATTCTTATTTGCCTCCTTTGTTATTTTTTTAATTGACAGAATGCAATCAGGAGTTTACACTGAATAGGCTATTGGTCTATCAGTTTTATATCAGTTTATATCATTTTTTTATGGCAATATTCCCCTTAAAGTTTGAAAACTTTCCGGTCATAAATTGGCAGAAGTACATTTGCATGTATGTATTGAAGAAAGTAGTATGAAATAATATCACTGTGCCTTGTAAAAGACTTGAGTTCTTAGCGGATTCTTATATTTCTGTCATTTATAGCGAGCTAATTTGGACAAGTTAAAAAATTAATCAAAACAGGTAGTCTGGGAGACTTTTATGGCTATACACTTTAGGTGATATTATGAAATAAATATTTGTTTTTAACCATGTGCAAAATGCCCCCCTAGTTTTTATTGGCAACAATGCAATCATAGTCCCATGTCATCATTATTCTTCTTATTATTAGTGCTTTTATTTAAGTGGATGACAATGTTTTAAAGTGACTCTACCATTTTTACACAGTGCCTACCAAAAATCATTAAAGCCAGGGTTGCTGCTCCTTTCTTATTTCATGGATTTATTCTATAGACACGTAATTTATTCTGCTTCACAGCATTAGTGGTTTGTATATTTATACAGTTTTGTTACAATATTGCTTTCTCTTAACAAAAACAATATTTGTGTTTTGGTGTCTTATCTATTTTGTCACTTAGCTGTTTATATTAATGACTGCAATAATTACAAAATCACCCATATCGTTTAGGAATGAACACTTTCAAATTAGACTATTTGCAGTACAGATGGGTACTCCTCTTATGTTAATGCATACAAATAAAAAGGAAAAGAAAAAAAAAACTTTTTGTAAAGAAATATATTTTTATGGGAAAAAAATAATTTGTAAAATGTATGAATCTATTATGTAAATTTTCAATGCAATGTAAGATTAAAAAGGCTAATTGCTTTTGTATTTGGTTGTTCTGTCTTATTTCTGAAATGTTATGCTTTTGTTTCCAAATGTAGCTTGGAGCAAATATAACCTAAAATACTCAAATGAAGATGTGAAATTAAGCAGAATAAACAGAATAAGAAAAATTAGACTTCAAAATGTAGAATATTTGTATAGATGACAAGACCATGATCTAAGAGCCTATACACAAACATAACCTTGACATGTGAGTCATGGATGTTTTATGGGTCTCATTCCCATATTGCTATCTTCATTCTGGGTAACTATTTTTGATAGTAGGGAAACAAAGGGAAGAAAAACTTAAATTTGTATTTACCATATATTGAGGATTATATTTAGAATGCTAGCCCTTGTAGTAATAGGGTAATATACTCTACTGGAACATCACAACAGTACTTTTATCATGTGAAATGCAATATAACCTACACTTAACGTCTTCAATAAAACTTTTTTTTTGCTTCTATTTGCCTTCTGGTACACAAGGAGGAGCTACTGAGCCATTTCAGAGAATATAATGCTTGGTGTGAGCTGCAACATTTGAGATATGTATTTCTATCAAACTGAAATGATTCAATATGCAGATTTTTCTATGTAATAAATGTCGTTAACTGGAGATTGGGCCTGGGCCTGACATTTTAGGGACACCAATTTTCAGCTTGCACTCATTCAGTGACATATTCTATATACATGATTTGTGCACACTGCATCCCATTCAAATAAAATTGGCAGGATTTTCTGAACCAATCAGAAAATTAGCTTGGATATTAGTTTGATTCACAATGAACAGTCAATTTTGAACTTTTTCTAACCAACTGAGTGGTACTGGTGGTTATAAGTTGTTTCTGGATTATTCACTTACAGTACACTCTGTCATCTTTTAAAATTAATAGATCCTCTAATCCTCTAATGACAAAATGTCCAACAGCTTTAGCTTTTCCCCTGTTTTCAGAAATTGCCACTAGTTACAAATTAAATAAATATGACACAGCATGTATGGAACACATGTTTTTCACTTTGGCATAGTTGTATTGTTTGTGGAGTTTAATTTCAGACACTGAAGAAGCAGGGAACATTTTGCACTACTGCAAAAAAAATGAGATTCTTTAAAGCTGTCATGTCAGTGTTATCTCAATCCGGCAACATTTATATTCCTGAAGTGTAGAGTCTGAAACTTCATGAATTAATTTTTTTTAGTAAAGAGAAAATTGCTGGCAGCCTTTTTTTTACAGAAAATGACATCTCATATTAAGTTGTCTTCCAAGAAATCTGTCAAGTCGTATTCAGTTTTTAAAGTAAACCTTCTGTTTAAAAATGTTGAGGAAGAGATAACTGCAGTCTAAATAGGTGAGTCTTAAGAATGCAACAGAATGCAACTTTTTGGTGGACACCACCACAAGTGGTGATCAGGGCTGTTAAATCCCTGATCACCACTTGTGGTGGTGTCCACCAAAAAGGAGTTTAGGGTGTTTAGGGCTTGCGAGGATTGGGAGTAAAGAAGAGGACAAAGGTGTCAGAGATCACTAGAGTGAAAAAATAAAAAAGGTTAAAGCAGCAGTGTGAAAAAGCCTTAATCAGGAGCTGAGGCAAATACATGTACACAGATCTTGTGAACATTGCTATCAAAAAGTAACCACAGTTAGTGGAGGGCAAGGTCATTGGTGACTGAATTTCCTCACTGAAGCAAAAAGTGTAAGAATGATGGTGTCAACAGAACAGATATTAAGCAGCCTGTAAAATAATTTTGAAGGAGAATAAATTACTTCAAAAAAGAGAGTAAAATTGTGTGCTAAGGCTGCAAGATGCTCTGGCCTGACAAGGCATTTCCTGTCACACTGTGACAAACTACTGTATGTTTAGACAGAGATTTGAAGGTGGTGACTGAAATATATAAAAGATATTTAAATAAACCAGAAGTTTATAGAGATTATGAAAGGCAAATACTATTACATGGAATAAGGGTGGAAAGATCCTCACCCATATGTCATCAATAGCAGTAATAACATTTAACAATCACCAGCTGTACTTATTTGGCACCCTCTCAGTTACAGTAGGAAGTTAGCTCATAGTGTTACTATATGTCTAGGCTCACACAGTCTAGTCTCCCTCCACCTACCAACTCCATGGACCATTCATGTGATGAATTACAAGCTCTTAAGTGTTACACAAGAGGTTCAGCTCTTGCAGAAGAACTTCCTTTAATGACATCACCACAAGCTTGCAGGATGCCTGGTAGTTTCAGGAATTGCTGCTGCACTGGGAGGCAAGAGAGCCCTGGCCAGCTATCCCCTACTCACCCATGGTGACATTGAGCCAGGTGTGATGCCACACAGGGAGTCCTCATCACAGCTGGCTAGTAGCAATAAAAACCTAATGTTATTCTTGTTTTGTTGTTGGCAGACGTAAACTTTACCTAAATAATATTCATTACATTGCATATTTTAAAGTAACTGAACATTCCAATAAGCTCTCCAAATCCCTCCTATGATCCATCGATCCTGTGCTGACAACTATGTTTCGCACCATATGCTTCTCAAGCTGCAGAGGCATATTATCCGCCAAAAAAATCATCAGTATAAAAGCTTTCTGCTTTGTCAAATGCATATATAAAAATCCCAGTCACAGGACACTAAGAAAAACCCATGGAAAAAGAGCTAGAAGTAATCTCATTTCATTTTATATCTGTATACCTGCTTAATATATACATTCATTGTATCCATAGATAAAGTAAAAAGTAGTTTACTTCAAATATAATTAGCTTTTAAAATGCAGGTATGATTTTATATTTTCATTTATATGTTCAGAATGAAGACAACCATACAATAAAGCTATTGTTTCATAGAGTGGATTGTGAACAGATTTTGAACAATATTCTGTATATACAGGTATATTACATTTCCAACCATCCATTTTCATACTGTTTCTTCCAATTAAGGGTCAAAGGAGAGCTGGAACCTCTCCAAGCCAGAAACAGACACAAGCCAGAATACAACCTAGATGGGACATCAGTCCATCACAGGGCACACATAGTATGTAATGGAACAGGCTGAAGCTTAGTCAAAACTTCTGCCGTCAGTGAAGTAAATTGGACACACCTGCCTTAATTCACAAATTGGAATCCTGTGGAATGAAATTCCACAGGCGGGAAAGGGATCTGGTGATTGGCCCTGTGCTTAATTAGAACTTCCTTAGGACTAGCAGCAGTCACATTATTATTACTCAAGAGCAGAAGGCAGAGTGTCTACGTTGCTGAAGTCCAGGGAGAGAGAGTTAAGATAGCACAGGAGTGTTTGTTCAACTCCTGTGTTTTAACATCAGCAGTCCTAATCAGATTTAGGCTTGAAAAGCTAAAAAAGCCAAGGATTTTGTTATGAGTGGATTTATTAAAAATAGATGGCTCCAGAAAATTTAGCATTTGTTTCCAAGTGTGTACTGTATTCCTGAATTGATTCGAATTCTCAAGAGTCTCTACATACTGTAGTAGTAGACTAGTATTTATTGTTGGAAACTGGGCATCAGTGGAAGATTTGTGCCAGTGGGTCTCAGAAGAGA